TATTACCTAAAAATTTTTGCACAACAATCTTAAAACTCATCAAAGCATTGTTCTGTTTAGTTTTCATGGTTTCAGTAAAGGCTTTATCGTTTAAAGCTTCCTGATATCAAGCCCTACAAAAACACCTCTAACTTTTACACCGAACAAATGTGGAAATGAAAACCTTATATATTTGAAGCTTTCACGAATTGCTTTATCAACCCAAGCTTAATATGTAGTGGTGGCAATAACACCTTTTTCCTATCAAGAAGGCTTTTATGTTCAACATTGTCTTTATTAACTATCCAGTGTTGTAAACTTAAAACTATAACTATGAGTGTTGAGTGTATCCTTTTTCTAAACCAACAATGAGGTTTATTATGTTGAAATCACCACACACAAGCCCATTGTGGTCATTGTATTTCAATTTGAGTAAAAGTGATTTAAAGCTGTCATATAACTCATTCAGTGTAGTTGAATGATAGACAGGAAGTGCTACATATTTAATTCCGTTGTATAAAAGTACAGCTTTCAAGCTGGTTGTTAAAGAGTCGATAAAAAGCCTCCAATTTTCAGCTTTATAAAAACCTATATCATAAAAATGTATTAGACCTTAAATATCATTACAATAAACGATTTCATTTTCTTTTGAAAAGTATTTAACAAACTCCTGATTTCTTTTTCTTAAACTATAACCGTCGTGCCTGGTTGGAGTAGATTTCTTTCTAATACGTAACATACTGTCTTGATTCCCTTATAGTTTTCTTAAATGATAAATTTTGTAATAATGGAAAGAAGGGAAATAGTGAGAGATGGAAATTCACTTAATTTAAATTATATTCAGCAAAACGAATAGCTCGTAGCCAGTCACGTTACAATACAGTCAAATTGTAACGTGACTGTAAGGGTCCGACTTATCAACTGTTAAAAAAATATTGGACTTTTTTTTATTAATTCGATTTCTCGGAGACTAATAAAGATATGGACATGATTCTTTTTTTAAAAGACGCGGAAAGAGTTTCACTTTTAAAATGTATATAGTAAAATACCAAATCACTTATTTATGCCATTGTTATAAACAATTTTTTCAAAAAGTCGACGATATCTCAAAAAACGATATTTTTTTTTTTAATTTTTGCACCATCGTGTTCATTATCATTTTTTACATAAGGAAACGTTGAGAAAATCAAGTGCCCAAATCAAGTATTAGGATTAAGACAACACTAAAATGAAACGAACCGCGCGCTAGCCGCTCGGCCGCTCGAGCGTCCGCTACTCGTGTGGTTCCAACGTTGCTTGCGGCAAATGCCTTTAACGAATAAATAATTTTATATTCTATTATCTATATGTATTTATTTAAATAATATATAAATTAGTTAATGAAATAAGTGATTAAATTTAAATTAAATTTAATGACTTATTTACTTAATATAACGTAATATAAAGTGATATAAGTAAAGTAATATAAGTAATATAAATGAACTATTGTTTTGTACCATCTGAAACAACATTGAATGAAACATTTATTCTGTGCGTTTGATCGGGCGTGAGAATGACGTATATTCAAAAATATATGGTAGAAAATATAAACACCAATTTTCAATAGCTTCTAGAAGTTTTTAAAAGTCTTTGAATTGCAGCAAGCAACGTTGGAACCGCACGAGTAGCGGACGCTCGAGCGGCCGAGCGGCTAGCGCGCGGTTCGTTTCATTTTAGTGCTGTCTTAATCCTAATAGTGGGCACTTGATTTTCTCAACGGTTTCTTATGTAAAAAATGACAAGAAACACGATGGTGCAAAAATTAAAAAAAAAATCTCGTTTTTTGAGATATCGTTGACTTTTTGAAAAAATTGTTTATAACAATGGCATTAATAAATGATTTGGTATTTTACTATTTACATTTTAAAAGTGAAACTCTTTCCGCGTCTTTTAAAAAAAGAATCATGTCCATAACTTTATTAGTCTCCGACAAATCGAATTAATAAAAAAAAAGTCCAATATTTTTTCAACAGTTAATAAGTCGTTCCCTTATCAATATTTTGATCTAAAACTCTGCACAGATGTTGACCTCTGTATAGGTAACAAGTCTACCAACTTTGAACAAAATTGGTGATTTAATGTTTGAAACTGTTTGAAATAGCCAAGAATTGCCCCTAAGATTCATAATAAAAATTAATCAATTTTATCAATATACCAAAAATCAATGTTACTGTTTTCCAAATAAAGGTAAGTGCTATAAATATAAGAAAATCATATGAATTCCTGTATATTATTTTATTGTTCACAACTAAACAATAACAATTACTGATTTAATTTATATGTAAAACTGTGTGTGTGTGTGTGTGTGTATGTGTGTATGTGAGTGCTGTTTAACTTTTTAAAAAAAAATTTAGATAATCGCCATGTAAAGAGCAGGTACAATTCTCTTGTAAGAATGATGGACGAGAATAATTTGACAATATCTGATTTGAATCACAATTTCGTCACACAACTATACAGAAGATTCAAATGGCTGCCTGTTGTTGCATTTGAGATAAAGTTCGTTAGATGGCGTTGGAATGACTGATATGTGAGCAAGTGCGTCGTCTCGCCAGACGTTACTGAGACTCCGAGCACGCGGGAGTTAAGCCCAGTATCCATTGTAATCTTTAGCCTTAGTTCTTTGAACAAAGGTAAAGCTTGATTAACTTGAAGTGTTGATCATCTCTTTGTTGCACCCTGGACCCCATATATTACACCTGTGATAATGTAAAGAATTAAAACAGTAATTGTTATTGCTTAGCATGTTAACAATAAAATAATATACAAGAATTCAAGTGATTTTCTTATATTTATAGCACTTACCTTTATTTAGAAAACAGTAAAATTGATTTTTGGTATAATGATAAAATTAATTGATTCTCATTATGAATCTTAGTTCAAATTCGCTAGTCAAAGAGCGCCTAAGCGCATGCACGGCAACAGCCAATAAGCGTTGACTAGAAAGAAACAGAAGTTTCCCACTATTTGTTACTATCTCTCTCACTCTCGTGGACAATTTCATAACCTGATTTTAGCAGTCTATCCTTTATATGTCTATGCCAACCTATTAGACCCAATGACAAATAAATTCTGCAAAACAATCACGTAAAATATTTAGGTATATACCTAAATTAGAGGCTTACATCAAAAGAACATATATCCACATAACGTAAACAGCTGGGACTGATACAGAGAAAAATGTACTGGCTCATTCAATTAAAAATGGAGCTATTAATTGAAAACTCATTATCACAATACAAAATTGTACTCAAACTAGTTTGAACTTATGGTATTCATGTATACGCGACTTCAAACTTAAATATTGAAATCCTGGAAAGATTTTAATTGAAAGTCCTACGTAACATTATATAGGCCACATGATTTGCTCCAAACAAAATCCAAAAAATTCTACAGGTTCCAACAGTTATAGAAGAAATTCAAAATATTTACATAAAATATACCACCAGATTACAAAACTACCCAAATAAACATGTCAGAAATCTTAAAACAACCATTAAAAACACAAAACTTAAGAAACTAAACTAATGAATGCACGAATAAATCCTAATTGTTTTGTCACATTCTAAAAAGAAGACAGCTAGATTCTTCTGAACCTTTTGTACATATTTCATATAGCAATAATTTTTACTTATTATCCTAACATATAAGACAGATTATAAATAAACTTGATGCAATTAAAAAATTTATATAAATATTTATATGATAATTTATAAAAGGGACCAAGTATTTTTTTATAAAACTAATTTGTAGCTATAAAGCAGTCATGAATAAAGGAAATTTTATTAAATCAGTTCTGTATTCTTTCTAAATTATGCTGCCGTAATATTTTATTAAATCATTTGATCTTACTTTTATTTATTAAAACCTTTCTAATCCTTGTATAACCTAAATTGCTGCTAAGTGTTACACTTACATCTTAAACTATTAGTGACAAGAGCAGTTATCTTATATAAAATATTTTGTATTAACCATAATTCTTACTTTAAATAAACAAATTTTATTAAATTGGATATTACCTAACAGATTATATTTTAATTGTTATAGTGAGTTTATACTAAATTATTACTGCTCCTCATTATTTAAAGTAAAAAAAAACTAAAAAAATTAATATATCACCATTAAAATTAAGTTTTTTTTTTAATATTACATTTAATAATGATAATTTTGTACCTACACTATTTGTAGCTAATGTTTATTAAATTGAAAATTGTATCTTATATGAATGCTAAACTTAGTAATTAAAATTAAAAATTTATTATATATTATAATGTAATACATTCAATGAAAGATATTCAGGTGCAAAGAAATTTTATTCTAGGTAAGTAATATGAAATTTCAAGTCTATAAACAAATTTTATCATTTATTTGTAAAAAAAAATTTTCTTATTCTGTAAAAAATAAATTGAAAAACTTAAATGTCAAAAGGGAATTAAAATTACCATAAATGAACATACGTTAATAATTTTTGAAAACCTGCTTAAATAAACGTTAAACAGTAATGGATAGGTATATATTACAGTTTAATAATTTTTCAAAACTTTCATATAAATTCAAACTGAAAACAAGTATTTAATATCTCAAATATGCAATATATTTTGATTAATTAATCATTCTATTATTTTGTAAATAATTTTAAATGATCTTATTCCTTGAAATTTATCAATTATCACTTCATTTAATCATTCTATACATTTAGAATCATCAAATAGCACAAATACAATACTAATTAATTTTTATTTTAATTATGGTTATACTTCACTGATTTGATTATATAATTTATCATAAATTGGAGTTCTCATAAGTTAAAAAAGATGGTTATGAATAAAATTGTGAAAACTGTAATCAAAAATATAGTTATAAATATAATATTATTACATTAGTGATTAGTAAGTTATCCTTTTAGTAACACAAATTTATTTAGTCACAAAGCATAAACATATAACTAATATATCAGGATTTCAAGCATAATATTAAAGTACCTTCAGCAGGAAACTCTTCAAACTCGTCATCTTCTTCCAATAATCCTAAATCAATCTTGGTTTTATTAGTTTTTTCTGTCATTTTTTGTTATTTTTATATTAATTGTTATGAAAAATGATCAATAATGAAAAAATATATATTTTCTTCTATTATATTTTTTGTTTATAGAGATGGCAACAGCTATCATGAAGTTTTCCCCACCGCAGATCAGCCCGGGAAAATGCTCACAATTAAGAAATAAACATTTTTTTTTATTAAGATGATTTTGCTCAGATAACCTCTATATTTTAAATAATTCATCCCATTTGCATAACACATTAAAAAAATATCAAAATGGAAAAATTTTTAATTAACTTTATATAATAATAGCTTCCTTAAAAATGATTATTTCGTAAATCTGAAGATTTAAAAAAATTACATGCCATTCAAATTAATTTGCTCTAGAAAATTATGCATAAAAGCTAAGATATTTTTTACAAATAATTGAAAGAACATAATTAGTTTATTCAATTACAACGACGAAGCAATTTTGCGCATGCGCATTGACTATTTATAATCTACATTTACTACACCTTATATACATGACATTATAAAAACAGTGAATGGCAATCAGTAACAATACATTGAGTCATTGTTGTTAAATGCTGTATATCAAGACAATCAGTAGATAGAAATGTTGTTACTATTACTAACAATGCTATGTTTTGCTATGTTCCTGCTCATGAAAGTGATGCGGATGGCTTGATGCCAATAAGTTTAAGTTTTCGTCATTTATAAATTAGTGTAACTGTAATAACACAGGCACATAAAATAAAAATGTGAATTGTTTCCGAAAAGGAAATATTGCTGAATCCAAATCCATTGGCCGATCTGTTCCCATCACATCAGAGACGAGATTAATTAAAAGTCAGATTGCAAAAATTAGTTATCATTGTTAGATAATACTATGTTTGCATAATTTTGAGATTGCTGAATGTGATTCCAATGCTCACTCTCTCCTATCTCATCAGGATCAAGGTCAAATAAAGATCAAATGGGTTATTTGTAGAAAAATTTCATTTTTCATTAGATGCAGAATTACAACTTTGCAGATCAGGTAACACTTTGACCTTTATATGATCTTGATAGGTTCAGGAAAAAACATTTATAGATACTTATTTTGATGTAAAATTTTTCGCTCTTTTCTAATCCGTGGTAAAAAATATATACTATTCCCTTCCCGAGAATAATTCAATTTTGTGTGCCTGCACAATCCCCAATAACACGTTTGTAAAACGGGTGTCACAACGTATTATAGAAAAATTTATACAATATAATAGAAAACGTTTTTAAGACGTTTTTAAAACGTTTTGTGCTAATCGGGAATATAGTTACATGGGATGTTTGATTATACATATTGTTACGGAGGAAACTGCTTTATTAGCGATTTCTACTTCAATCGTTGCCTCTCGCGATTTGAGCGCGCACCTCTAACAAACCGGACATATGTATGTACGTGAGCGCATCACTCATGCTCACATTTACTGTTTGAGGTGCGGATTAATGGAACTGAAACAGAGGAGCGGCGCAAAATTCGGCGAGCTATACAAGGGAAATTACGTGGAGAGAAAAGAGAGAAAACAAAGAGAAGAAACAAAGAGAAGGCAAAGGTACAAGGAAACGTGCCACTTCGAGTCGGTCGCACGGAAAAAAATTCCTTTAACTCGGAAAGTTATCTAATTTCAACATTTTTTTTTTGAAGGGTAGCAAACAAAAAAATTAACAATTAGCATGCTTTTGAGGTGAACTAGCATATGCTTAATTTTTTAATACATTTAATGACTTTTTAATAATTTTTACGAATTTTATTTTCTCAGTGTAACGTATTTTTCAATGGACAATTGATATAATCCACTAATGTTTACCAACATTTCAATAATAATTCACAAAAATTTATTTTTATGCATTTAGGTGAATCTATACAGAAATATTTATTCAATTAATCATTGAAATAGTTATAAATATTATAAGAATGTGATTTATACGTGCTAAATTCAGTTGTCTTCACAATTTTTTTTGTTCGAAATACAGTGCGCATGTGCGCGGGCGCTCACCACGCCACCTTCACTTTGCTGCACTGCCGCCCTAACTAGTGCTGCATTCCAACTGTACCCTCGCTACGACGCAGAACTCTACAACTAGATTTTTATTCATTTTGCTATTTTTTCACCTTTTGACTTGAGACTTACTTTATTGTAATTAGAGACTGTTGTATTATTAGAATAAAGCATTTATATAATTTCATTTATATATATCTAATTAAAAGTGTTTGTTGTTCCGATCTATCCTAATATTCCAACAGGTTATCGGCCCTGCCACGCTTCCACTGCGCAGCAAAAATTATAAATCATAGAGGTATGTTAAAAATTATTAATGTGAGCTGAAAAGAATTCACCTGAGCAACACGAGCTCGCGATAAATAACAAACAAAAGCAAAGTGAGCTAATAAGCACACGGAAAGTGTCGCATTCCGAGTACGCAAAGTATTTGAAGAACAAATATTTTTTATTTATCACTTAGTCAGTCGTAGACTAATAAAAATATCGAGCGCGTAATCATTAGAAAAGAAACGGCATAATATATTAGAGCGAATTAATAAGAGAGGGCTGGAATTCTAGAGTAAATTTACGACATGAATAAAATTGCAGAATAGTGCGGTTTTTCTGTCGCGTTTTTTTATCGTGCAGTGGCGTAAAGGCATAGCTCGGATCAAGGTTAAAAGTAACAACGTAAATACAGAGAAACAGTAACATTAGATTTCTCGCGAGTGACATAGCTTTGTTCGTGAATTAAACGCAATTGAAAGTCGGTATCATGAGTGACAGTTGAACAAAGGGCTTGACGCCATGACACCCGGCTAAAACACGAGGCAACAAGAAAGCGCGCGATAAAAGAGTAGCATCGCGCATGCGCTAAACGAATAGTATAACGAGAGAGAATGCGCGCGCAACAAACAGCTAGAGGAAAAGGAAAAAGTAGAGGTAGTGAGCGCGCGCGCTACTAAGGTGTGTTCACAACGGTACTTGTGACACAACCTAAGGTCTGTTGCAACTTTGGAGTGAATTGTCAAATACCAGACAGTGACCCGGTATAGGACTGCCTGCGTACATGACATGTACTACGATTAAGCTAATGTAGATCAAAATAAAACTAATACCATATATAAAATAAAATTAAATACACATAATATCAACATTTAATATTTATAAATATTACACTAATACATATATATATATATAATAATTATATTAAATTATGTATGTACTTGCAAATTATAATTTTAAAATTAGTTTAAATTCTTAGAAGAATAGTTTACCGTTTTAGAGATATTAAGAGCCAAAAATTTGTATATATATTTCGTGATATCTCCTGATAAAGTCGAGGTTGTTGCACTACGTATAGTCAACACCTCTTGCGACTTTAACGGTTAATTGCGTGATGAGCCTGGTATTGTAAACGTGAGCGATCGCTCCTCCCCAGTAATTTGCGCTATGTATGGTCAATAGAAAATGAGGGATCACGGGAGCAGTACCGGTTTATTGGACAATTAATTGTTGGCTTTCTAACTGTATTTGTCGGATGTACCCGACAGATATAAGAAAGAAGCCTATTGTTAGCCCGCCTTTTTATAAATAGTTAGAAGAAACATTCGGTCAATTTTTATTTATAGATGAACAGCGAGGCTAATCAGGAGATGGGGGAGGCAATGGAGGGGGACCGCTTCGTCGGTCAGGAGACGGGGGCGGATGAGACAGGTATATACATAAATATTAACAAATATGATAATTTCTAGAGCTTTGATAGCTATCGAACAATCCTAGAGTAATAGAGTGCGGATCCGCGATTAATCAGAGTTAAGTACCGAATGTTTAAATGGAAATATTGTTCCTTAGCACCCTCAACAGTTACTAGTGACGCATTGTCGTCAAGCCTTGCATCATCCGCTTCCGATACGGCAACAGACGACCGGGGCCCCGAGTTCGTCGTCCCATCTAACTCCTCACGACTCACCGCAACAACCAGTGCGAGGGCGCGTAACCTCCGCATGATAGTGCCCCTTCGACCTCCTCAAAGGGCTAGCTCGGCCTGCGCACCGCCCAGGGAAGATCCCAACGCTGTCCTCGCCACTCGACTCGAGTCCATAATGGCCTCCGCTGAAAAGGTGGCCGAGCTGCAGGCCAAAGCCTGGCCTCAAATCAACGAGGCCATCAAAGAAGCCAGAATCATACTGGACGCCTCACTCGAGTCAAAGCGACTCGAGATCCAAAATCTGACGGTAGGATCAAAACATAAAGACGTCCGTACTAATACTAGCGTGATAACCTTCTCGCCTTTATCAAGTGGTGGAAACCATCCGTTCTCCATCGAAAGAATTTTAGACCCTGATATCGATGCAACATCTAATAATAATAACACTAGAGCTACTGAATTAACTGATCGAGACATTGTAACTAACCCTGATGCAACGTATCCAGAGATCCACCGAAACAACCTTACTATCGATATTGGTAATCAAATAAACCAGACCTTTGGTGCATTAGCCAAAACAATAGAGAGTACTAACTCCACATCCAAAGCATCTTTTAAAAGGGATTATACCCTTACGTCCAAGGCTAATATAAATGTATGGTTGGATCGATTGAACTCTGAACTATCGGCAAAAGAATTATTAGATGTGATAGATTCGAATACTAGACCCAAAAGAATTTTCGATGTTGACGAAGTTGATAAAAGAAACAGACTAGTTAGAGACATTATAATAAATCATCTAGATGAAAACTATCACAAAATAATTCTTAACATAAATGACCCTAAAGAAATATTAACGAAAATCAGAGAACACAGAAGAATAGAGGCAAACACAGACGATGCTAAAATGAGAGAGGAGCTGTACAGTATTAAAATAAATAAAAAGGATAAAGTTTCAGTATTCATAGATAAATTTGATTCAATTATTAGAGAATATGAACTATGCGATACAGCCATTCCTCTCACTGACGCAGAGAAAACGTCTGCCTTTATGAAAGCTGTGAAAGATACATATCCACGGATCAGAGAAATGGATATAATTACGAAACAGACCAAAGGTAGAGGAATGAACTTTGAAGAAATGAAAAATTTCACCCGACAGCTCGAAACTGATCTACGAAGTTCCGGCGTTGCGAAGGGAGCCTCCGCTAACGTAGCCAGACCGGGTGCTGCAGCCACGGCCGGTGCTGGTCCCAGCGCCGGGGGCAAGTGTTTT